CGCAGACAGGATTTTTCAGACACTCAGCAGGAAGATTATCAACACCCGCCGCCTTTCTGAATTTAGCGCGTTCTATTGCCTTCTCTACTTCCACCAACGTAATAGGGACGTTCAAGGGATCAGTTTGTTTTATCTTCCTTTGTTATAACAAAATTGGATAATTCTTGCACTATATTATCCAGGTGTTCATTATCAAAATTTCTATCAGGGTGTGGGTCGTAACCGTATAGATTCTCAAAGTCATCCTTCCATCTTTCAAGGACAGAGCTAGTATCACAAACAATATTTCCTTCGGTGTCTCTGACCTCAAAGGGCAACTTACCTGAACGGTCGTAAGCTACACCTAATCTACCAATCATTTTCCAGAAATATCTTGTGTCAGTATTATCAAACGAGTCTGTCAGTTTCTTCTGCTTTTCTAGCTGATATAAGTATTCTCTCTGACTGCTATATAACTGATGCCTGGCTCGTTTCACGCCTGGTGATCTACATGCTAACAACTCCCTTTCTCGGGGCATGTTAGTGACCACTGGCGCTGTAACTCGTCGTTCCAATATGGTTTAGGTTTATTAACATTATGAATATTAACCGGTTTAGGTTTTGCACATGTATTAAGCTCGTGTTGAATAAGAGACGTGAATCTGTCGTAAGCTTCATTAAGACGATTGTGTGCATTCAAACTGGATTCAATGCGTTTGATACAGTCTTGTAAACGAACCACATCGTGAGATATCAAGAAATCCTAAGGGATATCTGGTCTATGAGCGGGTCTCTCAGGACGATCTGGGGCAATACCAACAGTGTACTGATCAAAAACATTGATAGCAACTTTGAATTCGAGCACAGAATGATCTGGGATTTTGTCAGGCACAGGAATATTAAGCATAGATATAATACTTGACATAGGTTTAACTTTAAAATCTGTGAGGTGACAAATGTGCTCGTGCGGTACCACAACATAGTCAACGACCGATCGCCCTGTAGTACACACATACGTAAAGTCGTTACTGTCACCAACCCTCCCGTTCACAAAGGAAGTCGATAAACATAGCTCCATAGCTATTTTCATTGCAATCAATGACTGACCTGGGATGTATTTTATCCACTCCCTCAATGTAATCCATTTGAATTCCACATCTAGCATTGAAATCGCCACACACACACAAGATACCTTCATTCTGATATGTGTACACCTGGTGTAGCAAGTCACTGAAGAACAGATCCGGGTCCCTTGCACGAGATGATCCTGCAGGTGGGAGATGCACAGAAGGTGATGTCACGGGCTTCTAATTTTAGCCATAAAATATCTTCAATTGTATCATCTAAAACTGAGATTTTGAACACATTGGTTAAGCTGTTCTTGATAAGGAATCCTACGCCTCCTGAGCCCCATTTAGCTTTCTTGTCGACTTGTTTCATATTATGACCGAACCATTTATAACCCTCAACTTGTATTTGTTCATCGTCGCGTAAAAATGTTTCACGGAGGGAAATGATATCATATTCACTAGCCTTGATAAGATTTTCTCGGAAAATAGAGTTTTCGTTACTTTTTGTGGACCAACCATACAAGTCCAATGGCACAGTCGCAAATCCTAATTCTGTACCTTCCTTTTAAAAATACTGCTGCCTTTAACATAGAATTTGTCTTGTTTATCTAGTTCTTTTACAAGGGTCAAAAGACTAGACTGTGTCTTCAACTCGACAGGAGACATGTTGTTCTCAATGTAAATATTTTCGTATCGCTTGTGTTGCTTTAACTTTGACTTATTTTTCATTATTCTTGATTTCTGCTCAGCATTGCTGACCCGCACAATCACTATGCCTGGTCTTTTACTGGGGCTCTCTTTCGCTCCACACCAGTAACTACGGAAGCCTTTTAGGGCCATTTGTTTTTTTAATTTTTTCGATACTATCTTGAAATTTCAAGATACTAAGTTGATATTTCAAGATTATTCACTTCAAACGTATTTTTACATCTTAGGATTTTAAAAAACTTATTATCTTGAAATTTCAACTTAGTATCTTGAAATTTCAACTTGGTATCTTGAAATTTCAACTTCTCTATCTTGAAATTTCAACTTCTCTATCTTGAAATTTCAACTTAGTATCTTGAAATTTCAACTTAATATCTTGAAATTTCAAGATAGTATCGAAAAAAAACAACAAACAAATGGCCCTAAAAGGCTTCCGTAAGTAACAGAGATGCCCCCTAATTTAAGATCATCTTTGAAGAGTGCAGACACTTTGTTTTCTGTGATGGTCGTGTTCTTTTCTTCATTAGCTTGAAGTGGTAGATTTTTTATAACGATCACATTATCACAGGTAGTGGCAGTAGCTGAAGCATAGGTTTTTTTCTAAAACCTGAACCTTGTCCCTCAGATGTGCGTCGTCTGCTACTTGTTTCTGCTTGAGATGTTGAAGTTTCTCGGAGATATGTCGCACTTATCCTCGAACTCATCCCTGAGTTTCTGCATTTCTTCAAGAACAACTTCTCTAATTTTATCGGATAAAGTGTTTTCTAGGGAACTAATTCTGGCACCCAAACTATCACCAACCTCGCGAATGGCAAACAGAAGGATAGAGTTATTTACATCATTTTGTTTACTCACATCATTTCCACTGTTTTCCTCCGATGTATGTTTTAACCGTTTTGTACACGGCGTATCCATATTATCGTCCTCTGCCTCACCAAAGTCACTTTTCTCCTCCAACTCTCTTTTTCTGGAGAGAGTCTCAGAGTCTGATGTTAGCTCAACACGAGTTGTCGACATGGCGGGCTTATTCGTGACGGTTCTCGCTCACTCACACACAGAGTTGAAAATATGGCAGTTGCAACGTTAAAAGTTTCCAATAATCGCTGAGCGTTATGGGAATTGTCCCTGGAGAATGGTCATGCAGGATATGTCTCGCCTAAAGCAAATATTTCGATTGAAACACTCAATGTTCTTAACTCTTGTCGGAGCTACAATGAAGAGGCAGTTACAAATCGGTCTGAATAAAATTCACAAATGTTCTGTGGAAAACGGGTTTAAGTTCTCTATATCAAAAACAAATTGTGTCTGCAGAACATAAAAGTTGCATAAGGACCCAGATCTATTTTTGAATGGCACCCTTCTCAAAGTTGTAAAGGAGAAGTTCTTGAGACTTTATCTTTGATAGCCAATCAATCAAGTCAGCGAGCCTGACCACCCGATCCCGTTAGTCGCCTTTTACGACAAGCATAGTCACCTTTTACGGCAAGTATTGGTTGCTGAAGACCTAATCTACTCCGAATCTTCACGGAAAATGAAATTATTTCATTACGAATGTAAAACTTTGTAACGTAAATTCTCCCTACCTAACACAGAGGGGCGTTTGACCACCCCTTTTAATTGCAACTTAAAATTTAGTTCTGTGTTTGCAAAATCTTAAAAAAATATAAACAAAAGTAACAAAAAATACTCACGGTCACGGATATCCGTTTTCATACATTTTGATTTGACTTTTAAAATCAACTTCAACAGAAAATATTCTTAAAATCTTCGAGACAGCTGTTGGAAGCGACATAATACACGCTGGTAAAGTAACAAAATTGGCGCTTTGCGAAACGAACAGTCTCAATTGACGAGTTAAATGAGAACTCTACAGTTTATAACGAAACATTTTCAAGAGAATAACAAAAGGCAAGAAGTGACATTAATTCCGTAAAGGCCCATTTGTCATAATTTTGCCTGTCAATGTGGAACGCACGTACACGTAAAAAGGACGTCAACAGTTTGTGTACGGGCTGGACACGTAATATAAAGGGAGACAATTTGAGGGGAGGTAACTCTTGTATGACAATAATTCAGTCCAAGTGTTATGTTCACTGCAGTAAAATATCAAGTGTTATGTTAACTGCAGTGAAATATCAAGTGTTTTTTTTACTGCAATGAAAATATTACTTTTCTCAGCTTTGGAAGTATATAATAAAGAGAGGTATGTAGCTCATGCAATGAAAATACGCCACTGTAATCTTCACCGTTATAAGAAGCAAGATTTACTTTTTTCTTTTCCTTTTGTTTCGAAAATCTCTGAAACCCAGGGAGATAATTTGATGATGAAGACTTTTTGCAAGAGTGTCACAAAGTTTATTTGCAATGTCAGATTTATCAGTTATTATTGTGTCACCATCTTTAAGATGCTGTACAGAAAAAATTGAACCTTTGCCTTTACTTGTCTTAATCATGTTCCATACCTTATTAATGGGCGTGCGTGATTTAATATTGGAGACATAGTTCTTCCATGATTGCCACTTATTTTGTTGGTTGGTTGGTTTGTTGTTTAACGCCGCATTCAGCAATATTCCAGCTATATGACGGCAGTAAATAATCGAGTCTGGACCAGACAATCCAGTGATGGATATCATGAGCATCGATCCACGCAATTGAAATCGATGACATCCATCAACCAAGACTTAAATTGTAATCGAGCATGCTCTTTCTACCATGTTTTCAAAGAGCGTCGTAGACCCGTGAAGATCCGGGGTAGAATAGATCTTCAGCAACCCATGCTTGCCGTAAAAGGCGACTATGCTTGTCGTAAAAGGCGACTAACGGGATCGGGTGGTCAGGCTCGATGAGTTGGTTGATGCATGTCATCGATCCCAATTGCGTAGATCGATGCTCATGATGTCAATCACTGGATTGTCTGGTCCAGACTCGATTATTTACAGACCGCCGTCATATAGTTGGAATATTGCTGATTGCGGCGTTAAACAAGAAACAAACAAAGAAACAAACCTAGCCTGACCACCCGATCCCTTTAGTCGCCTCTTACAAGCATAGTCGCCTTTTACGGCAAGCATGGGTTGCTGAAGACTTATTCTACCCCAGATCTTCACGGGTCTTACGAATATGAGGATTGGCAGCGGACTTGGGTATTGCAATTTCATTTAGTTGAGCTGAAAACTCTATGGGATCTAGTACATTTCTCTTTAATGTAAACACGACATAAATTATTTTTTTACCATGCTACAGGTGCCCCAAAGTTTGGCGAGTGGACGCTTGTATTCCGAGCAACTGCTGGACTGAACCAATCAGCCTTGGAAGAATACACCAACTCAAGTCATCGCGACGACCAGTACACCGTCGTCAACAACGTCCCCAAGGGCTGCTTGTCCCTCAACGGTTCTATACCATGTGACCGTCACTACAGAAGCAGATACCTCGACACTTGGGATCAGAGAGGCGTTTCACAGGTAATATGACCAAGTGTGGATCGTGTTGTCCTAGTTTCACAAGCACGTGCTAATGTTTTTCCATGTTGGAGTTCTAATCTAGCAGACAAAAATCCTGCTATATGATAACGATGTTGCAGAAAATTCTTAATTATATGATAATTCAGTAAGGATAAAAGGTCGTATTAATATATAAATAACGTCATGGAGAACAATATCGTACTTAAGAAAATATCTTAATTTTATGATAGCGATGTAAGAAACAGGTCGTATTTAATATGATAATTGAGAACAAAACACCATACTGAAATGATAAAAATCTTGTTTCGCTAGGGTGAGTGAGGTGTTACGCCGCTTTTAGCATAATTCCAGCAATATCGCGGCGGGGGACACCACAAATGGGCTTTCATACATTGCACCAATGTAGGAAATCGAACTTCGGGTCTTCGGCGTGACGACCGATCGCTTTAACCACTAAGCTACCCGACCGCCCCTGCTGAGCTAGAGAATAAAATAGTGTTTGTATGATAGACATAAGGAAAAGATATTTATATGACAGCGAAGAATCGAAAACGTGCGTAGAAGACAGGGGTCCATGCTTCAGCACACCATGGACATAGAAGATGAGTTATTCGCTTTTGTCATCAACAGGAAAATACATATTTTGCCGTATTATTGACAGTCATTCAGGTACACGGTGTCTGTTTGTTCAATCTTTAAGATTACAAACTAAATATTGAAAATAATCCAGAGTAAATGTCAGGCATATATGTTAATCTGGTTTTTTTCGTTAGCCTTATTGATTATGGATAGAATGCAGTGAAAGTATTTGCTTGCAAGGACGGCTTGTAGTTTAAGCACCAACAGACGAGTTGATGAACAGACAATGTTTGGATGACGTGCAGGTATCATTTTCATAGATAATTAGGTGTTTATAAATAACGCTTAATCTTTATGTTTTTTTATGAACATCCAAACCAGGGTTCTGTATCTAGAATCACATACCGTAACCTTGCTCTCTAACTGACAAGATTCCAACACAGGTTTTGCTGGGTCTCTACAAAGACGGCGAGATGATTGTCAATGTAACATTCGAATGTACCGGATGCAACGTCATTTCCTGGTTTGACCTTCTTCACGTGACAGCATCCCCATGGACCGATCTCCTGGCACCAGAAACTCCCCACAACTACTTCAGTGTTCAGGGGTAATGAACAAAAGCAACACTTTAAATCATTTATCGTACATCGTATATAAGGAGCTGGGCAATAGAACGTAAATACACTTGAAAATTGGATTTGACAAAAACATTACAAATATTATCAAAACGTTACTAGGATGAACACAGTTGCCACCACACTGCAAACGTAAGGTCCAAACCACAACCATGACACCCGTATCAAATACATCACCATCAAATAACCATTTTTTGGGTTCAATTTATGCCACCATTAAGCAGGGTTGTATACTTCCTTTTCCCGGCTTTTTGAGCAATATTTAATTCCTATTCCTACTTAAATTATTTCTTATTACAGATGGAATCATATTTTTTGTGGGGTGTTACATGTATAAATAATCTTAACCTTACAACCTTGATTTGAAGGAGGAAATCCTTTTCCCGAATGGGCCCGTGAAGATCTGGGGTAGAATAGGTCTTCGGCAACCCATGCTTGCTGTAAAAGGCGACTATGCTTGTCGTAAAAGGCGACTAACGGGATCGGGTGGTCAGGCTAGCTGACTTGGTTGATACATGTCATCGATTCCAATTGCGTGGATCGATGCTCATGATATCATTTACTGGATTGTCTGTTCCAGACTCGATTATTTAGTTCTCTCGCATACCAAACGTTTTCCTATCATTTTTCATATTATAACACATTCAATACCAACCACATTCTATCAGTTCCCTTTTAGCCATTTCTTGATCCTGCATTTCCAAATGCTTCATTCGACTCTTGCTCAAAAGTTGGCTTTTGAAAATAAAATCGCCTCATCAGATCTACGCATGAAGATTCAAAGTGATTCTCAGATCTATGGCAGATTCCACAAATAGGGCAGATATTTGCGTAAACTCAGATCTATGGCAGATTCAACAAATAGGGCTGATATTGGCGTATACTCAGATCTATGGCAGATTCCACAAATAGGGCTGATATTGGCGTAAACTCAGATCTATGGCAGATTCCACATATAGGGCTGATATTGGCGTATACTCAGATCTATGGCAGATTCCACAAATAGGGTTGACATGGGCGTAAACTCAGATCTATGGCAGATTCCACAAATAGGGCTGATATTGGCGTAAACTCAGATCTATGGCAGATTCCACAAATAGGGTTGATATTGGCGTAAACTCAGATCTATGGCAGATTCCACAAATAGGGTTGATATGGGCGTATACTTAGATCTATGGCAGATTCCACAAATAGGGCAGATATTGGCGCATACTGAGAACTATGGCAGATTCCACAAATAGGGCAGATATTTCTATAGAGCTAAACTCGTGTGGCCACCATCATCCTTCTCTTATTTCATGATACCCTGAAGGTGGGAAGGAATCAGGGTGTATGTACTCCTATCTGTCGGACTTCTACTTGTATTAACAACATCATCAGAAAGTCAAACAAACATCATTTATTCATAGACATACAAACACTTATTATTCATAGACAGACGGCTGTGCTTGTCGTAAGAGGCGACTAACGGGATCGGATGGTCAGGCTCGCTGACTTGGTTGATGTATGTCATCGATCCCAATTGTATGGATCGATGCTCATGATATTAATCACTGGATTGTCTGGTCCAGACTCGATTATTTGCAAACCGCCGTCCTATAGCTGCGACAAGTTTAATTTGGAACTGAACGCGCAGCGCAAGGTTTCAAATGTTAAAACAGCCATTAAACAAAATATGGCACTGTATATGATTGATCAGTCTGTTAACACCGCAATACTTTACTCAACATGCATTGAAAGCATACAAGCACGGCAATTCGTAAGCTATCATGAGGTGTGCACTTCTAAAGAAAACAAAGCAAGCTTTGCAAAGCTTTCGTTCTTCACCGCACGTCACCATTAAGACGCCAAACATTCATTCTGATGCAAAAGATATGGCGTCATAATCGTATATAGAAAAGCGCCAAATTCCAAGCTCTCTTTTGTCTCCAAAACTTAAATTACATTCTCATTGTAGGTTCCTATCGTGTTTTCTGCACAAAATGTTTTGCAACACATCCTTTGAATATTGCGGTAACCACAACTTTGCATTTTGTAATCTATAAGTTAAGATAAAATTACTTAAATATGCCTACCGACAATGACTGAAAAAGATGACTGTGCTGATATTAGCTTCCACGATGATGCGGCCGTCAATTCAGCTGTTTCAATCAGAGGGTTTATTGTGATTTGACCTCTGATTGACCAATCATAATCGAGTAATTCCCAAATCTATGGTAGAAATACGCTTTTATAGTTTTATGAGCCCCTGATAGCTATACAATCTTTGTGTCCTGTTCACATTTAAAAAAAAAAAAAACCCAAAATAACACACATCAAACTTGTTCGCCTTGCAAATTGTGAATCACGAGGTCGAGGAGATGCATTCACGAATATGTATTGAAAGATGCATTATTTCATTTCAAAACAAATCTACTTTAATTGAACTTTTATGAAGCACAGTCATTGTTTCCGTAAGTATATTAAGTAAACGTATCTTGCTTGTAGAGGCGGCTCTCGGCATTTCATAATGAACGAAAATTACGCTGGCTGTGAAAACGACCTGGGCTGGTTGGTGGTGATAGACCAGCCTGGGGGTGAAGGTTGTCTATGGGAGGCTAATGCGACGAGCTTCCCGTACTTCATGACAGCAGCTGGTGAAACAAGCACAAACTGGGACCACGGCAGTGAGTATAACAATCTAAGCTTTGTTTGTTTGTCTGCTTGTCTGTTGTTTAAATCCACACGCAATTGAGATCGATGACATGCTTCAACCAAGTCAGCGAGCCTGACCACCCGATCCCGTTTGTCGCCTCTTACGATAAGCATAGTCGCCGTTTACGGCAAGAATGGGTTGCTGAAGACCTATTCTACCCCGGATCGTCATGGGTCTCCATGCGAATGATGTCAATAACTGACTGCGGTCTGTAAATAATCGAGTCTGGACCGACAATCCAGTAATCTATGCGAATGATGTCACTTACTGGATTGTCTGGTTCAGACTCAATTATTTACAGACGCAGTCATATGGTTGGAATATTGCAAAAAGTAGGTATAAATGATATTTGCTTTTATTGCATGTAATGTTTATATACCCAATTGGGTGTCCCACTTCTTCTGCATTAGATTTCCGATGAAACATCTAATTACAGGTTTGTAATCACTATAGGGTATGACGAGTGCTGCCTTAGCCTCAGCATCAGCCATTGTGTTACCAACGATCCCAACATGCCTGGGTAACCAACAAAAGACGATGTCGTATTCGCCAGTAGCAAGATTATTGTGTAATTCATTGATGTTAAGTAAAATTGGATGTTGACACGAAGTATTTTTTATTGCCTGAAGACAGGATAAGGAGTCTGAAAGAAATAATTATTTACGTTAAGAAGCAGCGCTACGATTGCTTCGTGTAACCGGGCCCCTCTCTCGTGTTAGGTGTTGCCGGACATGCCTGTTTCTGAACGATGAGCAATTGAGATATTGGATTTGTCGGGATATTTATCTTTATCACTTTGTTTCAGACCCAGCCGTTGCCGATGTGATGGCGATCATGGTGAAGGTGTAGACATCATTATCAACATCCTCTGTAACAATGGAATTTAGTGATCAAGAAATTTAACCATAACCAAATGCAAACCATTGGCGTCTCGATGCCATTATCAGTCAGTCTCTTGTCCATGGCGACATCGTATCCTGGCGCACAACGATAACACAACATCATCAGCATAAGACAAGCTGTGTTGTCCATCTCGAAACATATCAAATAAAATTCGGACCCAAACGACGACAATGTTTTGTTCTATTTATGAGGCCTAAATACACAGAACAACTTAATTTGATTTTTGAGGCCATTTTGCCCAATATTACCAAAACGCGAAAATGCATTTTCAAAGTGTGTCCATTTAGCTACATGCATATGATTCTGGCGTATTCATTGAACTAGAATAGGTCTCAGCAACCCATGCTTGCCGTAAAAGACGACTAACGGAATCGGGTCGTCAGTATCGCTGACTTGGTTGATGCATGTCATCGATCCCACTTGTGAGGTATCAATCACTGGATTGTCTGGTCCAGATTAGATTATTTACAGACCGCCGTCATATAGCTGGAATATTGCTGAGTGCGGCGTTAAACAAACAAACAAAACAAAACGATTCTCAAGATATTAATCACTGGATTGTCTGGTCGAGACTCGATAATTTACAGACCGCCGTCATACAGCGGAGTGCGGCGTAATGTTGGTTGGTTTGTTGTTTAACGCCGCACTCAGCAATATTCCAGCTAAAAGACGGCGGTCTGTAAATAATCGAGTCTGGACCAGACAATCCAGTTATTGACATCATCAGCATCGATCCTAGCAATTGGGATCGATTATAGCCTCATTATCCGATCCCGTTAGTCGCCTTTTACGACAAGCATGGGTTGTTGAAGACCTATTCTACCCCAGAATCGTCACGGGTCTCTGAATATGACTATATATGTAAATGTTACGATACTGCGCCTATCTTCACGAATTATTAAAAAATGGGCAGAAAGTTCACGGAGACGAAGGCGAGAGATACAATACGATATTCGATTTTTTAGATGATAAATGCAAATTTTTTCCAAGAAAACATTTTATGGGAAAAAAACCAGTTGTGCTTCATGTGCGCTGCCCGGTTACAACTCATGGCGGGAACCAATACATCACTAAAAAGATATGACGTAAACGGTGACGTCATCCACGGCATCTCCGCTTGGATAGCCGCCAGCTCCAGACGTGCCCTGTCTCATTTTAACAACTTATCCGGAAGAAAGGACTAATATACACCAGCTATCAATGACATCAATATTGCACAGGGTGAGGCGGTCCTCAATCCTTTTGCGTCCAATAGTATAAACCAGACTGAAATGCAAGAATTCAAATCTACGTATGGTCCATACCCTTAGGCTTTAGGGTAGGAGACAAACTTAAAGCTAAAATTTGGCAAAACGAATTCGTTGAAATGGCCTCACTTTTGTCAGGTGATACTCACGACTAAAATCTTACAATTAATGTAAATGGTCAATCTGTCAATGTCTCCGATTCATCAAAGAAAAGGTTTTTGTCTATTGACAAATGGGTTTCTGCATTCCACTTTTTCATGTCGGTTAACATTCAGAAATATCCTGAGGATGTTCAGGCTATGTTAAAGTATGTTAGTACAATCAGAGAGCTAGCCCAGAAAGGGCGTAACTGGTATGCCTATGATACCAAATTTCGGAAGTTGAGGTCAGAAACAATTTGGGGAACAGTACACTGGGAATTATGGTTATAATTTTCGTCCCTCAAACCAAAGGCAATTTAAGGCAAAGACCTCAGGGTCTGCCAAATCTGCCATCCCAAACGGTTTCTGCTGCAGCTTTCATCTCGGACGGGAATGCAATGCCAAACCTTGTAGATACAGTCACTATTGTCCCCAATGCGGAGGTGACCATGGCTACAGTAAATGTGGGCAGAGGAAAGAATTTGGTAGACCAAACCGAGCAAACCAACCTCCCAACCCCAATAAACATGCATAAGATAGAACATTGGCTTGAAGGTTATGATAAAGAAATCACTGATTATCTATTAGAGGGTTCAAGTTTGGGTTTCGCATTGGATACGAGGGTAATTTAAAATCAGGAGATTGTCACAACTTAAAAAGTGCTTCAGATAACATAGATGTGGTCCAAAACAAAATACGCAAAGAATTAAGACTAGGTAGGATATCAGGCCCCTATAAACAGTTTCTACTAAAGGATTTTCATCTATCTCCCCTAGGGGTATGCCCCCAAGAAGTCCCAGGTCAATTTAGAATGATCCATCACCTTTCTTATCCTTACGGTAACTCTGTAAACGATGGTATACCTGAAAAGGCGAGCAATGTACATTATGCTTCCTTAGATGAAGCAATTGACATTATTGTTAGGATGGGCTCGGGGTCTTATATGGCGAAGTGCGACATTGAATCAGCTTTCAGAATTGTACCTACTTGGTTTCACCTGGAAAGGAGAATATTACTTCGATAAGTGCTTGCCAATGGGTTGTTCGTCAGCATGCAAAATTTTCGAGACGTTTAGCACTGCGTTGAACTGGATTGCAATTAACAAGCTCGGGATAGGACATATGCTGCATATTTTAGACGACTTCCTCATTATTTCTCAGGGCAGGGGCAAGTGTCGTTACCCGACCTGCGTTGATTTATCTCTTTGTCATTATTATCGGTAATATACTTATCAACCTACTTCCCAGCAGGCATTACAACGTTGAAACGTCACTCTTCAACGTTGAAACAACGTTGCAAATTGGTTTCACACGAAAATTGGACTGACGTTGACACTTCAACGTTGTTCCAACGTCAGTTGTCAACGTTGATGTATCAGAGAACCCCTTGTAAACCTTGAAAAAGTTGTTTTTTCAGTACAGCATCAGTGGTGGCCTCCCTGATATTTGAGATCAGTGAAATATTCTAGACGGTCATAATACACCAAAAAAAACTAACCATTTTAGTTTTCAGACACAACACAAAGGGCATTTTTGTCATTCGATCTGTCCTGTGCCAGCGGCATTGGGTGGTCAGGCTCGCTGACTTGGTTGATGCATGTCATCGATCCCATTTGCGTGGATCGATGCTCATGATATCAATCACTGGATTGTCTGGTTCAGACTCAATTATTTACAGACCGCCGTCATATAGCTGGAATATTGCTGAGTGCGGCGTTAAACAACAAACCAACATAAAATTCCAGTTTGTGGGTGGTGGTCTTCATTTCAAATGTCCGTGCAGGTAGCAAAGGTACTGTAAACCCCCATGGTCCCTAGTATGGTGGTCTACCTTCAGTTGCTGGTGATCTATAGCCCGTTTATATCTTATATCGTTATGTATAGTGCTATTCTCTTTTATAATTCCGTACTAGTTTTTATATCTTTTTCTGTGATAAATCTAGTTATTTGACTGTCCTTCGTTGACAGGTTTTTATATACGTTTCACTATATGTATTATGTTTAACTATTGATAGTCACGATATGGCCGAAATACTGCCGATGTGACTTAAAATTTTAACTCACTCACTTCATTTCAAATAAACCTTCGGAAGCTCTTTCAACAAGTAGCATAACTCTAGAATTAATATCAGCTAACTGTTTCTGATCTCACCAATCAAACTTGGCCTCAATCGGTTTGTTTGTTTGTTGTTTAACGCCGCACTCAGCAATATTCCAGCGGTCTGTAAATAATCTAGTGGACCAGACAATCCAGTGATTAATATCATGATCCCCACAATTGGGATCGATGACATGCATCAACCAAGTCAGCGAGCCTGACTACCCAATGCCGCTGGCACAGGACAGATCGGATAACAAAAATGCCCTTTGTGTTGTGTCTGTTGCTGAGTCCGCCACTACTTCGCTTACCCTGCAAAAGCCAAAGAAGGTTAACAGAGGCGTGTTCAGGAGGGCGGGCGCTCGCGATATTACGCGAGCGCCCGCTGTTGAACACGGCTGACCGCGCGAGCGCACGCGTGTACTCGCGATCAAGCGCGGGAGGTAGTTCGCCTAGTCATTCAAGATGGCGTCCAACATTGTGCAAATGATGGAACTGTGCCTAACAAACGGAGATAATACAAAATTGATCCCTCTTTCTGTCTTGTAATAAAACACTGAGAGCAGTGTGGGCGTAATCTAAATAAGTGGCATCCATAGCCTCCGCCGGCTTTGATAAGTCATCTAACGGCAACTCGAATAGAGCAGTCCCGACACCGCCATTTTGAATGCTGTGCCGCGAGAGCGAGTACGCGCCTTCCGTTCAGGAAGGCGTTATAGTGTCTCGCTGTTCGCTCGCGCGAGCGCCCGCCCTCCTGAACACGCCTCAGGTATGCCGATGAGAAAAGTGATGCTTCATAAAAATTGCTTCATACCGTGGGGAGGAGCTGCATGATGCGGAATAATAATTTCACTGTGATAGGTCGTCTTGCGTCAGTGCGCCAAGAGAGCCTGGACATCCCGGCAATGGCCTTCTGCACTGGAAAATGGTTACACATGCCCTGCATAGAATTTAGCCGTTGCGCTGATGACAAGGCTGAGACATAAGATCGCGCTGTACTGGGTGACCTACCTGACAAGGAGAGACCCGTGAAGATTCCGGGGTAGAATAGGTCTTCAGCAACCCATGCTTGCCGTACAAGGCGACTATGCTTGTCGTAAAAGGCGACCAACGGGATCGGGTGTTCAAGCTCGCTGACTTGGTTGATACATGTCATCGATCCCAATTGCGTGGATCGATGCTCATGATGTCAATCTCTGGATTGTCTGGTCCAGACTCGATTATTTTAAAGACTGCCGTCATATACCTGGAATATTGCTGAGTGCGGCGTTAAACAACAAACAAACCGATTGAGGCCAAGGTTTGATTGGTGCGATCAGGGACAGGGTTTTTTAACCGCTGAATCATGTCCTCGATGTATTAGGGGCCGGCCATTGAGCCTGCAACTAATTTGCTTACTTCTGTGATTAGGCGAGACAAATGTTAGGCGGGATATGGGTTGCCTGCTGGTCCGCTTGAGGTGCCGCTGCTCGAAACCGGGCCTACTGAAATCTCGAAAGAGCGTCTGCAATTATGTTTGCCTGGGTTGGTATATAACGAGCTTTGAAATGGAGTATGTCCCTCTCCATTTTTTGTCGAAGCTGTATGTTGTATTGTGCCTAAACTGTATGTCGTATTGTGCCCAACAGTCGCCCCCAAAGCGGGCAGCAGCGCCGCGGATCGTCTCGACGTAGGTGTGCAGCTCCTGCATTTTGTTGATGTGTGTGCTTCGCTTTATGACGATGCTGATGAATGTCAGAAAGGCTGATGTCA